GGAAGAACGCAGTGGCAGCAGTGCATGCCACAGTCCTGTTGCACTTCTCGGCTGATAGCGTGTCTCAGGATTCTTTATGCTTTTCATCTTTTCCCTGGCAGGATTACTGCTGAAAACTGAATCCTTAAAATTCCTCAACAAGAAAAAAAAAATAATGGTAATGAGGTAAATATCAAGGCTCCTCATTCTAATTTTGATTTACTAGCAGTTTTTCCCTTTAGAATACACCAGTTCTACCTGTAACACCTAAGCTGGACCAGTGACGCCAGCAAGTGACAGACAGGTAAGTACAAATACGTGGAACAGGCTCAGGAAGACTAATTTGGAAAGGAGAAGAAGAAAAAAAGAAGAAAGCCTTCAAAGTGGTGTCAAACGAGTATCAAAACTTTATTCCTTATGTGACTAAAAGTAGATTAACTTTGTGAATCCTTCTTAACCAAACAATTCTACAGGAAGGAAATACTAAACACAATTAATAATTCAATAGAAGAGTTACAGCTTTAAAAAAAATCCTCCAGATATTTGTCATTTTTCAGTGTTTATGCAATAGGTTACAGAAGTCTTCATCCTTCCAGCGTAGGAGCTGACAGACAGAGGTTAACCAAAATCATTGATTGATTTGAGACCTCACCTGCAAAAATAAAACTGCTAAAAATGAGTGCAGAAACCAAAGCACTATATACCTGATTCCCATTTAAATACTTCAGTCAGTAATTCAAATTTCCTAAACCTACTTGAAGTCAAAGATCAGTATATCTACAGCAAACAGTACCATGTGAAATTATATGTGAAAATAAACTGTCAGAAAACGTTTTTCCCTCACCTAGAAAGAGTTTCTAAATGCCAGTCTTCAAAAATGCAGATAAACATCTGATCTGAGCATTACAAATGCTAACTCTGTATCAAATAATCCTAGCTATGCTAATCAGCAAAATTACAAATTGTTAACTTACAGAAGAAACTAAGTTTGTATGGAAAGTGGAGTTAAACATAAAACCATCTGAAATACAGCAAAGAAGCAAACTTCTGATAATGCTATTATGAGTGGTTTTTTTTAAAATAGGTATTGTTTGCACTTTTCCCTTTGGATAATTTTGCATTTTTACATACAAAAATAGCCAAATACATATTTTCCTCATAGTCCTCCATAACCCAAAAAGGTCTAAGCAGCTTAACATCCAGAAAGTTTGCAATTCAAAAGCAGAAAACAGCTACATGCTCAGAATTATGAGGATGCTAAAGCTTTACTTTACCAAGTATCATCCTTACTAAGTTGTTTTAAATACTGTACTATCATTTGAGATTTCTAATTAGTCAAAGTCTGTCCAATCATCACAATTACAGATTTTAATGTCTTCAAACTGCTGTATGCATTAACATTCAATATTACGCTGAAAGCAGAAAAGCACCACTTCCAAAATATGCAAGTAATAGTTCACAAGGCATTTAACACTGAGAACTGCATTATCTTCCTCCACAGCTTACATCTCTGCCTTGTACACAAGTTGTCCTTTTATAAGGGAAGTCTTAATAAATATGACCATGTTATTAGTCAAAAAGATAGCCTGCAGAAGGACTTGGTGAATTCCACCACAGGAAAGAGCAGGAACAGAAAGATAAAGAAGCATTCCATCTTCTAGGCACAATATTTATTTCACGGAAATCTTAAAAAAGTTCACCATCTGCATTGCTTTGAGTGCACTTTTGATAATATTTCAGGGTGGGAAGGATCATGACTCGGTGCAGACTGTCATGTTAACCACACTTCTCTATTTTTCCCATAAATATTCAGGTGGACAAACCTGCATTCTTTTGGGATGCACTTAAAATGTAAAGTTGGACTCTAAAACATTTCAAGTACAAAGTGGCTGAAGAAAATTATTTCTCCCCAGCTTGAAAGTACATTAGACAAAGTGCTTTGTGCACATGCTCCTTTTTACACAACAGAGAAACAGACTTTTCTGTACCGGCAGGAGCTTCAAAGGCCTGCATGTACTGATGCACCAACCGAAATCACTAAATTACAGTCTTGATCACATTAACTTAATGAGATTTTTCTCTTATTTTTCCTCAATTAGAACTGGCTGTTACATCATCCAGAGAAAAATGACAACATATCCGTGAAGAGGAGTACTATTACTACAGTTACTGAACCACTGAGATTGTATCAGCTTTGTGTTGGAAAACTAAGACAAGTATGTTACTCTGATAAAGAAGTGAAATCAATGTGGTCATGACAGTGATATTCATTGCAATATCACTGTTTTAAATTCCCTTCAGTTCTGCTTTGGTTATTCTGTATCGCTAACCTCAATCCCCATCTTGATTCCCTGTATAATACTTCTGCAGAATGAAATAAAGGCTTTTTCTCCCTGTAGTGATCTGAGGAACGAGGGAAGTGAAGCAATGAGAAATCCAAGAACTGCATGCACATCTCCAATAGACATGCATCATGCATAGGGAAAAAAAAAACCAAACAACTAACAGTAAAAATGCATGAGGAGGAGATGGGAAGAAATCTTAAGTTGTACTGTACCACGCTTTATCACAGAAGTAATGGACTAACTTCTCAACTCCTTGCCAATTGCACAATGGGAAAGCAGAGACGAGAAAAAGACAAGGACAGTGATGTCAGAGGACCAAGACAAAACAATGAGCAATCGCCATGACAGAACTGAAACTTTTCACCATTTAAATTGCAATTACCACATCCCCTCCACTGGTTTTTAATCCACCTTCCAGAAAAAAAGGTAGCAACAGTATTTAAGTAATGCAGTACAAACAATATTTATAACAAGACCTGCACAGAATACCTTGGATTCTATTAACACCGTTAATCTCTTACACTTCAAACACTGTTTAAAGCTGTAACCGGAATTTGTGTGTATGATTACAACGGTATACATCAAAAATGTTTGCATCCATGCACATACTTATTAGATATCTACCGATGAACAACAGTGTTTAAGATTCACTGTATAACATATTTCGGCCGTGCTGCCCATACTATTTAATAACCCGTCTTCCTTACAACTCCCTCATCATCTTGAGGGGACTCCAAACTACCACGGTTTCTCTTTGGAGTTGGAGCGGGGTGGAAGGGACACAAACTCTGCCACATTTTTCATTTTCTGATCAGTTCTGACATCCCTTATCTCACTGTCTGGTCGTAAGATATTCTGTTATTTTACAGGGCTTAAATTGAAGCTACAGTCTTGCTGAAAGGCTACACTGGGAAGTTCTCACTTTCTACCTCTGGAAAAAATAAATAAATCTAAGTTTTCACATCTTAATTATGTAGCATTTGGCAGTACCTTCATTTTGGATATTTATTATTTTGTGTCCTTTCAGCTAGCTGTATTATGCCCGTATCTCAACACTATAAAATAGGATTCTACAGTACTGAGCATGACTTCAAATAATGACACAAAACAACACTTTCTTTTTTTTTAATCCCCCATTCACCACAGCATGGGGGGTATTAAAATAATTGGTAATATGGCATAGCATTTTTTCCCTGCATTTTATGTATAAAGCCACCAACTTAAAGAAGAAGACTACCTTTCTCAAAGAAAAATTGCTGAAAGTACTATAACCACAAAGGCAGGCATTTCATCCACAAATGCAGATGTGTGCAACAGACAAGTGTAAAGTTAAGTTCTGTTTGCAAATATGTACTTAGTTAGGTACAAGAGACATTTCTCTTGTAGTCCAATCTGCAACTACCCGACTTAGGAGAAGGGTTCTCAAAAGATATTTTTTCATACAGCTGAACACTCATTTCTCAGAGCTAAAATACATATAAAGGACAGTACTGCCACGATTCTAGCACGTTTGTAATAATTTGACACTCTCTTAACATGTCATAGAACTTCAAGATAATATTCTGAAGCAGCAGACACCAACACTCTGTAGGCTCAAAGAACCTGAATCAGTCAAAAAAGGTTTGGAAACATTTCATAGTGTTACACAACACACCCTTGCTTGAGAAAAATCATGAAAAAGGAAAGCCTGGACCTGATTTATAGTCAATGTGCATACAGAGGCTTTCTTGATGGTGATAAAAAACTGTGCCACCTGCTAGAATTGCTTACGTTGTCTTTATTTGTAATGTTTACATACAAAAACTCTAAATACTTTCTCCAGTAAGTGCACAGCAAGCAGAGACATGAACAACTGCAATGCTTGCACAACAAAATAGTTTTCATCTGTGTTTCTGTGTGGAGAAGCGGTAGAGGCCCAGAGAAAGTGGTATAACGTTATTGTATTACAAGAGTTCATAACTGGTTCATTGACAACGTGTATTCTAAATACCGTGTTTCTAGAGCTGCATCATTAAAGCTCCAAAATACGAACGCAAAAGTTGTAAATTGTACTGGAGAAAGTTTGCTCTGTCATCAAATTGTATCCTATCACCATGAGAAAAATAAAGAGGATTAAATAAGAATTGGGTTCAAGACGCACGTTTGAGATACAGGAATAAAAACAATACAGTTTTGTTCATAAAGTGACAAAAATCAATGTACTGGTGGGAAAGTGTTCATGTTATATGAAATGCTGTATTGTTTCCAAGGCTGCTGAAACAACACGAAGTTAATAATTGTGAAAGTACTGAAAATTAATTCTCATTAAAAGCACAAAATTAACACATTTTATAATTGGAGGTGTAAGTGCTGTGATAAGCAGTAGGCATGCTAACCTTGCAACTGGTGCTAATAGAGAAGAAGTGTAAGCGTATGATAGCATTGTAATATTATGTAGCAGGGATATATTACTCGCCCTGTACAGCAGCAGTAAAATTATATTACAGTATATAAGCAACTAAATATGAGCAGTTGATAGATTTATGCCCTCAATCTACAGCACTTGTAAGGGATCTATGTAGCCATCAGCTATCAACAACACAGTGAAGAAACCTGGGGCATTCGCAAGCACAGGTGATATTTTAGGTTTGGGATCCAGAAGTTAGAGAAGAAATGCAATTCCAAGATCTCCAGACAGAAAACACAGCAAACACTGAGCCTTCGCAAAAGCTGAGACTACTTCACGTTCCCACCATCTTCTCTATATTACTGCAAAAGAACACTAACACTGACTTTAAGGTTATCTTCCTATTCCTGGTGGCAATACCCAGCTCACCACTTACCTCGAAACGCCACAGACGGCATCCTGTACTAGCTCAAAAAACAGCAGACCTAAAACCACTGAACCAAGGGAAGAGGTAACGTGCAGAACGAAGGATGCTAGTGATAATTCCAGTAGTGTTCTGCTTTAAAGGACTTCACACAGCAATAAATCACAAATTTTGCAAGAGTGTCAGTATGTGTCCAAGAAACCTCCTAATCTATAGTGCATTTTTATTCTCAGTATTCATCTTTTGTTCAAAACTAAGAATTAAAGAAAAAGGCTAGGAACACTCAGTTATAGGAAATATTTGTTTTCCTAAGCACTAGATTAATCATAGCTTAGGTTAATTAGTCAATAACCAGTTTTCATCTGCTTTATTCCCTTTACTAGTACTTCATAGAATATAAAGTATAAGATGTATACTAAAAAATCCAACCTCCTTTAGTAATGGAAGTTCACCATGGGATCTCTGAATAAGAAGCTGCTGCCATTACTGGAGGAATAAAGTGGGGCCTCAAAGAACTTGCAAGGTACCAGCAAAGTCAGTGTGAATGGTGTGATACCAAAGTGACACATCTGGCAGCTCAGACACCGTCATCTCATTCTGAGTCTGATCAGTAAGCCCCAAAACCATGACATTTATATACTCCTCAGGTCTAAAACTGATCTTTTTAAACTCAGACTCTCTGCTGACAGGACAGAAAAAAATAGTGAGGCTGTCCTACTGCTGGCCCTCTACCCAGAAACAGAAGACACAATGATCAACTTCAGGAGCTCTACATTCATTATGTGCACACACAGTCCCACAGCAAACACCACAGGAAAATGAAGCACATCCCTCCATCGCATAGAGAAAAGCCTATGAAACAGGCTGTGCATTCCTGATGAGTTGTTTAAACGAACATTGTCACAGAAATGCCAAGAGAGTATTTGAAGCACAGTTTACAAAAAACACTTGGAGATTGTTTTTTCCATGTAATTGAAACAAGTTAGGATTATTGCAATCTGAAATAGATGTAAACTTAGTTTTCCAAGATGCAGCTCTTATTATCTCCACTGGTCCTGGAAATCTCTCTTTGTTTCCATAATTTTACTGTTTCCTTTATTTCTTGTCCAAATACACTCTTGGGCTTTGCTAGGCAGTCAAACACACTGTAATTCTCAAATTACAGTACTTTTTAAAAATATAACTTTAGCTTTATGAACTAGTTATATTTCTTTGAACAATTATCTGTTTATAATGCAATACCAAAGCACAAAATAAGACTTACCATTTCTCTATGTCTACGTAAGCATACAGTTTTAAAATCAGCAATTGTCTTTTGTTTTGAAGATCCAAGCCAAGAGAACAAATGCATCTTACATCAGCCCACATTGTAGCTAGCACGTAAGGAATGTTAACAAATCATGCACATTTTGCAACAGCCACTTCAATGTATTAGAAGCCTTTTTACAACAAGTACCAACAGGAAAGAAAAAAACATTAGTTTCAGGGGAGCCATTCTGAAAAGTTAAGAAAACTTGTGAGAGGCAATGAAAACGCTACCTTCTCACCAACATTTTTATACACATCCACAATGTATTTGTGTAAATACATCCACATATGCATGCATGCCGACTTGTGAGCAAACAGAACATACACAAACAGGATAGTATAGTACAGCCATGAAAAAGAAAGGGAAAACGCAGCAAGCAAGACTTATGTTAAGACGAGACTGGAAACAAGGGCCTACTCGGGTTTGCCTGAAGAACTGCTGAAGTAAATCAGCATTTCATAATTGTTACCAAGCTGTAAGTTGTAGCTGCTTATATGCTGGCTGAAGGAAGCATTTTGGTTAGCCACAGACTATTGTGGATGCCTGGAAATCTGCCTGAGGAAGGAGGATACTACGAGATGAACAGTGCGTGCAAAGGGGAAGCTTCTACGGGAACACGGTGAGGGAGATGAGTGAGAGGTACAGACTCACTCTGTCTGCGGTGCGGTGGAACAGTCCGAGGGATGCCCTGGAATGAGCCCTGCCAGGGAGAGAAGGAGGGAGCAGAATACCCACCCTGTGCAGAAAGAGAGAGGGGGAGAAGTATAATAAAAAAAAGAGAACAGGGAAAAACAAGACACCAAAAAGCCACACCATTCCTTTTCTTTTTTTTTTCCCCCCAGAAAGGTATCATTATATTTCCAGTCGTTCTACTTTGTATATCGCATGCTACTAAAGCCCGTAGGAAAAAAATGACATTGATGCCCTAAACTAGTCAGAAATCTTACAAAACACCTCAATTTTCATTCAATGTATATGCATACATTTCTGTTAAAGATGTTTTTAAGGGAGAAGTACAGGAGTTGAACTTTCAATGTTAAAAATACATGCCAAAAGTGGTATTTTTACAGCTTTCAAAAATGTTTTAAAAACACCTCACTGAGCAGTAAGTTGCTTAATACTGATCTACTGGGAAACCAGTCAGCTTTAGTTTACAGCAAAGAATTCCTAATGAATAGGAACAGATTTTCTAGCAAATTCTGGTGCTTTAGAGTCCACTCATCTTTTGATAAAATTATGAAATGTGAAAGAGGAGAGGTGACACGTGACCATTTCCCTTGCACTTTGCTCTTGGAGCTTGAGCCCTCCACTACAGGATCAGAGAGCCGTGCACATCAGCGCCATGCAGGGTTTGCCTGTCAGATGTCTCAGACCACCACAGAAGTGACACACTGTGGCTGCTGCGTTCTCAAAACAAGAGAGTAATTTTCTACACTCTGTCATTTCCTCCATACCCTTACCTTTAAAAGAAATCTATCCAACTTGGAACTGCCCTCTTAAATCACATCATCTTGACAGGTTTAAGTCTCTACAACCCTTTCACCATTTAGCAGCTCAAAACGTTTTATGAGTTCTGGAATATTAGTGCCAACATTACTGACCACCATTGCGTCCTGGCTACCAGTAACCAGCAGATACCAGCAGCAGCCAGATTCAGACACCATGTGTGAGATGTAACTACTTAACACAAACAGTTAGTCAAGGCTTGGAATTTGCTAGCCAGAACATTTTTAAACTTGAACAGGAAATAATGAAAGAAATCTGAAAAGACTTCTTTGTTCTTCTTCAGAAGTGGAGGTAAAACAATTATTGGAGTAAAATCCAAGGGAAAAAATGAAAGAAGGTCTTTAATCTGATTCTCTCTAGACAGACATATTGATCACCTAACACGTTTCACAGTCCTCCATCAGCAGCCATTAGCATCAACACAATTAGTAGACTGCTGCATGAAAGAACATCAGTTGTAGCTTCAGTCAAGCAATATGACAATTTGACTAATAGGTTGCATCAGCTAAGTAGGTATTAAATAAAGAAATACTCCTGGGAACAAGATTAATCAATGAATGAATGATGAAACATCAACAAAAGCTTTAGATTTTCACAGCGCTGTACAAAAGAACATTTCATTTTCAGGCTTATTCACATTTCATCCTCAATTGTGTCAGGGTGGTAGAACAATAACAAATTATTGCCATTTTCTAAACGTAACTGAATCTCCAGATAGTAAAAAACACAGTATCATCAGGCACAGGTGTCATCTTGTAGAGCCTTGTTTGAGCAATGGGCTTTCTTCAGGCTACTTTGAAATTTTAATGCATTAAGAAGAGAGGTGAAAATTTTGTATCCTCTCCCTTCCTATCTCTAAAAAGAGATTAAGACAAGTACAGGCCAGCTGAGCTACATAACAGTTATGATACTACTGTAAAAGTAGAGAAATATTTAGATGTCTTGATACATTACAGCAATTTTTAAGCATCCATGTTAGCACTTCAAAGCACAGCACTAAGTATAGTCTTGTCAGTAATTCTTCATGGTATTTAATCATTACTCTGACTGGGGAAGTAAATGAAGAAAGCGCAAGTAACTTCCTTCAGCGTTTTGCCTGCTATACTGAACTGCTCTCCAGGCACTGCTCAGTCCCCTTCCACCAAATGCTGGAGAATGTTCTATAACTTGAGAAGCAGAAGTAGCTTTTCCTCTGGCAGCAGTCTTGGGAGCTTACACTGCTCCACACAAGCAAGTGTCAAATAAGCATCATATTTCTCATGTATAAGAAATCATGACAACCATTGTTTAACTGTACAGCAAATAAGGTAATTAAAATTAACATCAATTGAACCTAGTAAGAACAAAGAAATACAGTACTGGGATTTTATTAAGATGGGTACTATGAATTACACTGATTTCACAAATTATAAAGGTTGTACTGATACCATACACATAGCACATTATGAGTCAAGTAGAAGATGGCTTTTAAAAAATTGTATTTTACAGAACTCCAGCAAATTTACAAAGCTTTCTCCTTTAAACAACAACTCACATCCATCCCCTTCTATCGGTCAAATGTACACTGAGGTTCCCAAGAAATCCAAAGAACAGGAAAAAAGAAACACACACTAACAAGCCCGTCTCCTCAGATGATGGTACATTTTCAAAATACACAGAAAATGTGGCAGTTTCTCATTCGATACAGGGAAGAAGAAAAACCTGAGTCACAATTTACTTTACGCTTGATTATTAAAGAGTCTATAGAACTCATAAGCAACCAATGTTAAAATTGAAAGATGAGAACGTGACTTACCTCAGCTTGTATTAAAAAAAGTAACTGATGGGATTCTTCTGGTTCAGAAGCCTAGTCTGACACAGATCTTTCCACTTGCACTTTAGTGTTAGACAACAGACAGAACAGATCCTCCCCTCAGCTCTTATGTGTGTCCAGCCACTAAGCTTAAATCTCATTCCTCTCACTTCTCAGATATTGGAATTGTGAGATAGCAAAAACATCCCAAAAGAGAAGCAATTCAGAATTTTAAAGCCAGGCAAAACAGGAGACTCAGGAGTGGAAAAGTAAGAGCAGCTGAAGTAAAGCTGCCTACAAACCAGAACAAAATGACAAATGTTCTTCAGAGATTCTGAGGAATTGTACAAATGCTGCTAAACACTTGATGAAGTTCTGGCCCTAACTGCACTGCAAAACCTTTTTGGTTGTTTTGGGGTTTTTTTTGGGTTTTGTTTTAAAAAGTCTACTACAAAGATATGAAGGTCAGAGTTCTCCATTGCTATGAAGAAACCTCAGCCTTAGAATAAGCAGTCTTGTGAACAAAAGCAATTGCTTCTAGCGGAAATATTTCTAAGCTATTGCTGCACAGTAATTTTGGGCCAATAGCCAAATATTCCAGTTCTTTTCCCAAGGATACACCAGTATCTAAAACTGCTACTGCTTTAAAAAGTCTTTTCTGCTGCAGAAACACAAACACAAGAAAGATCCATTTTTATTCACACAGCTGGAGCCTTTGAGCACTTCCAAGAAGTGATGATTTTTGCTACATCTCACCTAGCAAGTTGTCTGCAAACTCCGAGCTCAACATCATGAACAGATCTAGAATGACATACTTTTAAGTATCAGTGCAAAGTGTTTTTGCAGCAGTCTCCTCTTGCTAGCCTGGGACCCAGAAAGCTGTTATGAACAAGCAGTTCTGATATGCAAGAGTCTTTTTTCAAAGTATCCAGGTAAAAAAAACCAAACCCCAAACCAATTTTTTTTACACTAATCCAACAAGAGTTGCCCTTGAAGGCTTCAAAGGACCTCTTTTCTGTGCGTGTGCCTGCATGTTGTGCACTGTTAATGTAAGAGAGCAACAGGCACGCACAACATGACTATCTGGTCCATAGTACTTGCTCACCAAGAACGTACATTGTAATAGATCAGCAAGTGAACAGAGTACTGGACAACAAGAGAAACCTGGACTGAATGTGAAAGTAACACTAATATAGAAACCAGGCTTCAAAACCTGGAAGTTTCAATTCGCAGTTGCAGAGTCAAAGCATACAGAAAATTTAAGGCTATGGTGGAAGGAGATACTCAAAGACAACATGACACAAAGACAGGCAAAGTACTGTGAAGGTTCACCAAAACAACCGACATGAAAGGCTTTGGAATGACAAACTGGAATAATGCTCACACAGAAGGCAAAGAACGCATCTCCACACAGAAGTAGAGAAGAGATGTAGCAAACAAAAATATGCACGCTCTCAGGCAAACTGAATTTTCTGTTGTCATTTTACCAGAAGCAAGAATAAATTTGTACACACATTTAGGCAGCAAAACTTACTCTCATCATTGTGTACTATTCTGAGTGCAAGGAGAAAAATCAGCTTCTACTGCACACACTCTGCTATTGCAGGGCATGGAAAAGCACCCGTGAACTAGGAGAAGTTGTGTTATGCTAAGGAGCTGGACCTCAGGGGCCCAAATCCTTTACAGACATCTTCATATTCAAGCTTTGTAGTTTGCTTGCTTATCTTTTACTTCTCAGCATCTGCAAACAACCTTTCCAGTTCGAGAAGCCAAGTAATTTGCCAACATAAACATGACATCTAACCCCTTTAGAACTGGCAGTATTTAGTATTACAGAAACAATGCTGTAAAGCCTGTGAGACAATAGTGACAGTATATGCTCACATTTTTCTTCTTCGTAAGCTTTGTTCATCAACATTAATTTCTTCAGGTAATTTTATGTTCAATACCTTGCTACAGATTTTGGTTTTGTGGGCTTTGTTTTTGTTTTCTTCATGCTGTTTAAATGATAGGCACAAATTAAGTGAATTCAGTACACAACATCTACGAGAAATCCTTCTAGAAACATCATGGTCTACCCCGTCAGTAAATAGGTGTACAAGCCTTTGATGAAGAAGCCTGAAGATGGCTAACCAAAAATCACGTTTGCAAGTTATCACTGTCAGCAGACAGTCAAATGACGTAAGGTAGTTTTGAGCATACTGTCAGGATACTACTAACAAAAACCACCATGTAGCAGATGCAGCACCTGGGCAGAAGTTTAATTCTTAATATGCCCAATTTTAAAACATTTATCTTCAGCCACTAGGTTTTATTACATGGAGTACTAAATTCCAAGGATTAAGCTAAAGTTGCATAGCTTCCATTCATGTACATATTTACCTTTAAATAGGTAAAAACCCTAAAATTACTTTAAAAAACTATATGGTCCCAGAAGATAATAACCCCAAACAAGTTTATAATCACATCAGGATGGACCATCTTCTAGAAATATCTGGTAATAAAGGAAGAACAGATGACTTTCTAAAGAGAATGTTTCATTATATTCACCTGCCTATTTCCTGAGAGAACAACACAGTGCTGAGAAATTACTGTCCATATTACAAATGGACAGCAGAACTGTAAGAAATTACTGCAGTTCATATGGTCTTAAATTCCTAACTTAAATCTTCTAATAGCCAATTTCCACTCTCACTATTCCCTAGTTTACTCTAGCATCTACTCTTTATGAAACATTACATGTGTTCATCAAGAATGTTTCTGGAAGCATTTAAAGTATTTATTGAAACAATAAGTTACTGTAAGTGTGATCCTAGGCTGTTATTTATGCTTCAGGAATCAACACACAGTATCAGTTCTGCTAGAATTTGTAAACTGTCAGAATAATCTTGAATCTAGCTAAAGTAACTTCCTGATATTCACCATCATTTGAAGTGACTGACAACTCTTAGAGGAAAAAAAATCAAGTAGTTAGAATATTCATCAACTTCAATAACTGTTAACAAGCGTAAAGAAGAAAAAAACCATACATGCCTCAAAGGAGTTGTACGCTCATTGCCAAGATTTCAGTTATAACATGGTTTTAAAAGACGTAGTCTATATAAAACCTTAATCAATTCATAAACATTAACTGCATTTCAATATTCATATCATGTTTAGGACCAATAAATCTGATCTCCCCCAGCCTGCTCTCTCAGTTCAAGACCATTAGACTAAACTGAACAAGAATGCTAAAAAAAGCAAAACAACCATTTCCTTTATGACTTTTTTTTTGTGAGAACACATTTTACTAGGATATCTCCTGCTATTTCCATTTATTGGACTCCTGCGTTAAGAAAATAGAGCCAATTGCCTCCCCTTTCCATTGCATGTGATGATCAAAAATGATTTCGTGCCAAGGCTTTTTCTACATTTATACCGCTATTAAGCTATGCATTAAGCATAGAAATGCATGCTAGCAGAACTATGAACCAGAAAGTTGAGGTCTGATCATCAGAACTGGAACTTCATTACAGCAGCAAGACTCTCGACCCCTTTAAGAAATCCTGCATTAAGGAGCTCATATCAGTTTCTGTTCGCTTGCAGAAAGCCTCCATATAACTTACAAATCTGTAAAAGAGAAGGCATCCAAAAAGCCATTCTGTGCAAAACCTTCCAGGTCTCATTTACAAATAAAAGTTCCTGGAAAGCAGTGTATTTTGAAAATTTGTCAATACTTCATGAATTTTCCTAATTCCTGGATCAATTTTCATGAGAAACTTTTCATGTAAAGATAAAAATATTGAGATGTTTGTAATACACATCTAATGAGCAAATGCCTACACACATATGTAACAAAAATATCCACTCACATACACAGCCAAGCGTGAATACAGCAGAAGTCTATTGGGTTTTGGTTGGTTTGCCTGTTTTTTAAAATTATACTCACCCTTAACCTGAATTTCCTCATGACAAAAAAAAAAACAACCCAGAAAGTATCCCTTTGAAGAAAACTACTGAATAACTTAAAAGAAATACACTTCAACCTGACCAAAACAGACGGTTGGGCTAAATGACCAATTTTACCTAAGAGATCAACACACAATCCCCACCTTCACGAATATCAATTAACGCCACAGGCTGCTCAAACTAAAGTTTCTGTAGTTAGCAACTAACTTTCAACAGTTACTAATCTGTTCCTGAATTTATGTGGACAGTGTTAGGGAAAAAGAAAAAAAGGAACATGGAAACAACAGTAGCCACTGGCTTAGTAATAGTATCAATGCAGAAAAACATGACCTGAACGCCACAGATAGGAAGTTAAACTTGGAAAAAATAAACAATACAAAAACTTCAACGTCACAGGAAAAGAGAAACAAATGGGATAAACATCCAAGACATTACACACACTTTCTGGAACAGAGGTGTTGGATAAAAATAAAAGCTCCGCAAGGTTATGATCTCTTGGGTACTTATCAGACAGAAAACAGTTGGAAAGCATGATGTCAACAGGACAAAGCTGCCTGCTAGCAACTGGTGAACGTACAGCCTGGTGGTACTTCTGTCCTAGCACCATGTATTTAAAAGACTAATTCCAGAAGGAGAGCAGGGGTGACTTATCTTTACTACAATCTTATATCAAGTAACTCAAGGCAGGGTGAAAAACAAATGAAGCCATTTTTAACCTTTAAGATAAACCTTTTAGGATTCTCTAGCTACAGCAGTAGCTTCAAGATCCAAAGACTACGTGCTGGTAACTGACAAAAGCCTTGCTTATCATTCAAAAGTAATTCTTTATTATTAAATAATATCAAATGTGTTGTCTCTTCCCCATCTGAAGTATTCTACCAGTGTTACATAAAGAAAGCAAACGTGATTCATGAAACAACATATGGGAATGAAGATGTTCTTTGTCAAAGTGATTTTCACCCAGTGATTTTTCGGATTACTTAAGCTCTTCAAATGAGTGATAAAAATATTTTTTACAGATATATAAAAAAATTAACTTTTGGTTTTATACTTCGCACTGGAACTTAGAATACACTGGTGCTTTTCTCAACAAACGTGAAATCATCAACAACGAAAATCAGGAAAAAAAATCTAAGAGCGATACCTATGGCTTTAAAGTCAGGACACTGGAAAATAAATAATGTGCTAATAGATATACAGCTTGTATTGACGAACTTAAATAGCTCAAAGGGAGATTATTTTAAGAGGAGACTTCTAAAGCTTAATGACTTATTTTAAAAGAAACCATTGTGATAAATGTTTAAATAAAAGAATGTAATGGATGCACAGCAAGAAGGATAGCACTCTCCATACAGCACAATCTCTTAAACAAGGCCAACCTAAGTGACAGGAGAAGTAATAAAACTGGGGAATGAAATGCAGACAGTCATAACCGAGAAGGATTGGCACGTTTTACTCACAGAACTCCTCCTCCAGGAGGTTTGTGTAAATTTGTCAGCATGCGTGCATGTTGCCCCTGTAGGTTTTTGACTGTCTTTCTGGCAGTTACATCTTGTGGCCTGAATCACCACCAAAAAGAGAAAAAGAAAGGAGAATGTTAGAAAGTAACTAAGCCTCTTGAAAAGCACAGTCAAGGCCTAGTGTTCAAATATCATGCAATACTTGACAGTGTAACACAATACGATTAAACTGTAAAAAGTAGCACAACTGCTTCTTTTCCTGGAGAACATTTAGAAATAATCTAGAATACATGCTGGCTTTTGGAAAAGGTATGTGATTCACTGAAATCTCTGAAGCACCACATTCTTTAAGTCTCCTTTCAATAATTGTAAGTTTTACCCATGTTTAAGCAATGTTCCTTAGCCATGACAAAGTTTTCAGTTACTACAGTACTTAGGTATATGGCTTTTCACAAGGGCAGGTAGCGATAGAATGAGGGGGAATGGTTTTTAACTGGAAGAGGGTAGAGTTAGACTGGATATTAGGAAGAAATTCTTTACTGTGAGGATGGTGAGACACTGGCACAGGTTGCCCAGGGAAGCTGTGGATGCCCCCTCCCTGGAAGTGTTCAAGGCCAGGTTGGATGGGGCTTTGGGCAGCCTGGTCTGGTGGGAGGTGTCCCTGCCCATGGCAGGGGGGTTGGACCGGATGAGCTTTAATGTCCTTTCCAACCCAAACCATTCTATGATTCTGTGACTTAACAGGGAAGGAAAGATCTTCTTTCAGAAATCTTTGAAGGTTGATGGTAAGAATAACATACCGGAAAATCAACACTTACTGCGAAATACTAACAGACAAGATAATTTGTTATAATATGCTATGATCTCAAATTCTATTGTTTAAGCAGCAGAGCAGAAAGCAAAAACTTAACCTTTCACTTTTTTCTGAGAGGGAATGATCACACGCTAGACGGGGAGAGGATGAAGACCACCGGTCAGCTTCAGTGCACGTACATACAAAAGCACCTGCTAAACATTTCACTGGAGATTTTAATCACACAAGACTGTCTCCAGCCATGATAAATAAATATGGTGTGCACCTCTTGGCATCTCATCTACCCTGCATTTAAGATCTTGCTCTAACTTGAAATAGCTTGAAAACGTGGAACTATGTTACTAGATGACTAGATGTCACAGCAGATGACTTTACCAGAATGAAATCCAGATAGATGCATAGTAAAATCCAAAGCTAACTTAGAACAAGAGCAAAAAGGCGTGTGTTACTTTTGCTAGAGGACTTGTGTCTGTATGAACCTAATTCATTATGAAATAACTTTTATTTATTTGGCTAATTTAATCTTACTATTCAATACGCTTTGTTTTGTTTTTAAAAAGAACCAACTCTGAATACCATCGTGCTCAGCATTAAACTCTGTGGTGGAATTTTTATCAAACTAGTGGACAGTAGGGAGAGGAAAGAAAAACCCCACCCACTCACCCACCAAAAGTCTTGAACCAGAACGATGGGTCCAATACATGTTAATTTAAAAAATATTTTATGCTTAAAGTGGCTTATCTTTAGTCATTGTTATTTCTGAACAGCTTCTAGAATTATGTTCACAGTGTTTGATCTGGAAATGAAATACATTTAACAATCACATAAACATTCTTGCTTTGTGCCACACATACAAATCATGACTGGCCCACAGAATTAAAGATCTCAGGTATACAGCTGCAAACACACGAAAACACATGGAATTGGTCTGCTAACTGAACCTTTACAGACTCATGGGTCAGGCAGGTCTAAAACTAACCTAAATCTACCATTGTGAAAGTGTAAGAAAAATATTAGACCTCTAGCCTTCTTTAAGCCTTCATAAGAATTACCTATAACACTGCAGTGCACACTTGATATTTCGTTAAACATTGAGTGTTATACTTACAAGTTGATTCTCTAATTGGTTGATTGTTTCATCCTTTTTCTTCAGTTCATCTTTAAGCTGCTTGATCTCGTTCAGCAGATCATCCATCTGCAATAGAACAGCGGGCAATAAGAGGTTTTGTATAAGGGCCTCACAATCTACATCAACACCTCTAGAGCACATACATCCATACTGTTCATAGAGGGCTGGCAGTAATAGTAGCACAGGCTTTCTTCCTCTTACTCACATGGTGAGATGGGCTGTAGGCATACAACCTGAAGAGTGAAGAGACTTGACTAGAAGTCTCTCGAAGAGACAGAGTTGAGCTGACTCAGTCGATTTTCAGGGTATAAGTTACATTCATCTACATTTTTGACACATTAATTCATCTGTTGTACAAGCAACTGACATCAGGTAGATGAGCATTCTTAGCCATCAAATACTACCTATACTCTTGTTTATCCAAGAACGGAAAATAGTGAAGCTTAAAGGTTAAGTAAGCTCCTATTTAAAAATCATTAACATAAAATGATAGAAACAAGAAGAAAATAATTTAGAAACATAAGCATAACTACATTTACTGAATGCAAAGACCACAACTGATTTGAATAAATCCTACTAAAAACTCAAAGTTAACTTAAAATGCAAAGTTCAGAGACTAAAAAAAACTGGTAAACATGCAAGAGTGAATTTTTTAAAAACCTCTTCATCACAAGGTAATTTTAATGTCTTTTATAACTGTGCCATTATAGTTAGGTCATATTTGGAGTAGGCCATAAATTTAGGGGCATATTTTAAACGAAGAAGCAGCCTAAATCTACTGTTTCAGTTTCACTGGAAATGTTATTAATTACTGCTTCAGGACAACACTCAGACTGATTTGTTGTGCAATTTTTCAAACCTTATGCCGGTATCCATTAAAGAAGTGACAATTCTAAATGTCAGTTAAACCTAAGACAAAGATCTTAAGATTGTGAGGGAGGTGACTGTAGAAGGACCAACCAGTACAACAAATACGTCAGAGAACAATTAAAGAGAAGAGAGGGCCTAGATGTTAACAATGTAGAAGCCAGAACTGCTAAAGGATGATGCATATGGATCTACAGCTTTGGCAAACCTCAAACCTCAACACCAGGATTTGGACAGACGACCGCCAAACAGCACTAAGGCTGTAAGTGTTCCTCACTTTCAGGAATAATTTCTAATTTCACTGTATCTTCTGCAAGAATTGTTCCCTTCCCGTAAGAGCAGGATTAGTGATCTTTCTATACTGATTTTACAATAAGAGCCTCAAGCAACACTATAGAACCTTACCACTGTAGAAAGCACAACATTACAAGTCTGCGACCATAAAATATGATTGTTTTTGGAATATCCATTGTGATTGCTTCTTCCTTCAATACCCATTCTAAAACATAAACACATCTCTGACTTTGTGAGGTTCATGTAGTTTAAGTTACACCTGCGATACCTGCATTATCTCAGAGGACTTTAGATGAAAGATATTTTAAACTGAATCCAACAAGAAATGTAATGAAACAGAACAAGTAATAGATCAAGTATGGTATGATTATACTTCAAAGCAGAAACTGTCCTTTCAAATTTTAACACTTATCATGCAGGTAGAAAAATTCTGACAGAAGTTACTCTACAGCTGTTAATTCTCATATAACAGTTACAAATAAAAAAGAGGGAAAGTTATTTTAACTATTAAAATTGCACTAGCATTTGTTAAGGATGTATTTTAAAAAGCCAAAGAAATCCTTCCATTTTAACAAAACTGAAAATATGAAGTATAACAACATAGGCTAGGTTTGCATTTAAATAGATGAAAGAAGTAGGAAGCACAGAAGTTATTGATTTGTGTTTTTTTAACACAGACAGGCTAATATCTCATATTTCATAGGGTAAATCACTGTCATTTACCTTAAAAGTTGTCTCAGGTTCTTGTGGTTCTGGACTTGATGGAACTGAGAGTGAGATGTCCTGGAGCGACACGTTTTCATCATTCTGTGAGAACAAAACCAAAAAAGCTCAAACTACTTGCTGAAACAAGTCCCTTGTAAACTTGCTTTTAAGTATGGAGGTGCACCACCTCTCTGCTGAGCCTGTCACAGAGCTGAACCTCTTCCATAGTCTTGTGATAAGTTCTCAGGTTGTATCGTGATGTTGTGTTCAATCTCAGTGTGGTACAAACCCAGAGAACTATTACAATAGTTATGTTATGGCTATTGAAGGCCATAACCCTCCATTTCCTTAGCATTAAATAACACCTTCCCAACCCTTTCTGTCCATTTCCTCCATCTGCTATCTTCTTAATAATAAAAAAAAAAGTCTTCTACCTCACAGTAGTCTCCTAGATTTGTTAGGATTCTTTGCAAGGAGCTTCTTTACCCAATGACCTCACAGCCTAAGATACTGCATTTATAGATTATAAGAGCATCACGTCCCAAATCCTGTCAAACACCACTACCAGGCTGAGCCAGCAACTCCCCAAAACCACAAGAGTAAAACCGCAGCTCAAATGCTGAAGATTCCTAAGGGAAAAACCCACAGTAGACCTGTTCATGTTCTTTATGTCCATGAGGTATGGTTTTTTGGTTTCTAATCCATGAGAAATATTTCTTATACATTAACTCAAAGCCAAATAAAGATCAAGGAGCTTTTCCAGATGCAAAAAAGCAAAATATTAAAACTTATGAACTTGCAACAATTCAATTTTTACTTTTTCTTATAGTCACTAATTACTTGCAGCCAAAATATGCACAACCATCACCAGACTTAAAGATAAAAATACTAAGAACTATCATAGAGTCACCAACTACTTTTGCCATACTACAGAGTAGTAGTGTTTTGGGGGTTTTGTTTCTTTGTTTTTTTAAATTCTTGGCTTTGCTCTTCTTTTTTTTTAATTTTTGTTTAAAATGACTATTACTTGTGAGAGCAGTCAAATTTCAAGGCTTCTGTCTCCTTAACATAGCAAATATTTCAGTTTACACTGTCCAACACGCAGTTGTATTCAATTCACCAGAAGCTGCGTGTCCCTTCTGGGCACATCTGCAGCATGTGACTGGCTGATGGAGCAGGAATTCACAGTCTATAAGTCCTGATGCAATGTTTTGAAATATTTTGCACAGTAATATAATAAAGAAAAAGTTATATTTAATCCAAAACATTTATAAAGCGCTAGCGGAAATGAGCAGCAATTAACAGAGTTCATTAACGTTTGTTATTTTAAACAACTACGACAACAAATAAATACACTCAGAAGACGATGTACATCAGCCAGCCACAGTGAGGGAGTAATCATGGAAATGGAAAAAACACAAGACAAGCTATTTCAACCAAAAGTATCTTCTATGGCTTTTAAAAGCTGTAGCACTGATACCTCTGGTATACCTTTTATTCCCATTCAAATACATGTAGAGAAGCAATAAAGCTTTGCACAGCAGCAGATTATGACCTAATTGCGAAGTGTGTTAGTATGTCACATTCTCTGGTGATTTAAATCAAGTACTCCAGCCCAGCATCATACCTGAACAATATCCACTAGCAAAGTAATAACTAAGATCATTTGCATCAATTCCCTTACCACAGTTTAATTATCTCAGTACATTATAATTAAACCAGTGCAACTGAAAAAAACCAAACCTTCTAGCAGTATTAGTGGGAACTTAAACATCCCATTGTGAACATGCAAGGATTAATCTAAGAAACACTTCTTGTTCTGTTTTTTGTTTCTTGATCATGTTGCTAAAATGAGAAGAGGGAAGGGTAAGACTATCCATGTAGAAAAAAACCTAAACCAAACCAAACCAAAAGAACAGCAACGAGGATATTAGAATTAGCAGAAAAGATTTAGTAAAACAAATAGCATGTGCATAAAACAAGTGCCATTTTTAGTAGCCTAGAAATGACATGCTGAGATACCATCAAGTTTGTAAAGTTGGAGAGAATACACAGTTTAACCTTCAGGTAAAGTTACAATAAGCTTTATAAAGCTCATTATCACATCGCAACAGGCAACATAGGAAGCTGCTCAGCTCTCAGTCTTGACCTAACATTTTTACGATAGTAGAATACATTATTTATTATAATATAATCATGTCTTTAGAACAGTTGGATTAGACTCATCTGTGCCAAATGTAAAAGATGCTTACAAAAACAGTAACACCAGATAGTTTGACAGCTATAACAAAAACAAACGCTTATCAAATTAATCAAAAACTAAGTTCTACTTGGAAACATAAGCAGCAACAAAACATTTTACTACTTTCCCTAGCAGAAGACTGCTTCTGAAAAACAGCAGCATCAGAAGAAAAGCATAGTTACAAATGTTCTTCACTGTTTCCTAAGTTTAAAACATTGCCACAAACAACTCACACCTTACATATTCTGGCAAACCTGGTGTAGTTACTGTAAACATTACTGGCAGTTTAGGCCTGAAGACAACCTGCAGTATGTAAACTGACAGTGGACTAGTGCTGTAGACACATTTAGTTAGTTATGTAGGGACAGGCTTCAGTTGGGGGTTGATTATTTTAACCTGATACAAACTCGTGTATGTATTTGCATGCATGCAACGTTTAACCACGAATACACTCAAGAAACAGTTAAGTTATATGACAGTGACTGATCATTCCACAGCCCTTTTCTTCTTGTTATGAGTGTCAGCCATGCATGTGAATCACTACCTGTCTACAGTGATTTTCAACTCAATCACATTTACTGGAAACTTTCTGCTGAATTGAAGTCAGCAGCACACACTGTGCCTTTTGGTCAGCTTTGGGTAGTCCCTATGTAATAAACTGAGGTAATCAAATGACTCAAGATATTTTTTTAAGTGATTCGTAAAATTACAGCAAACCTGGCATCTGAAACCATTACAAAATATCCCAGCAAGACTTAGAAAATCATCCTAGGTTTCCTAAGAGCTACATAAAGAGAACACGTGGTTGTGATGGAAAAAAAAAAAATCCACAAATTCCCTTCAAACACTTCTAGAATACTCAAAGACCAAAAGGTTGCTCTTAGGTTTTTTTGAGCAACTTTCTGAAGCCTTGAGATATAGTTCACACCTTTTAACAACATTTCAGTGTTTATCAGCGTAGTGCCTATACCACAAATCCAGAAGAATACCTAAAGCTGTACAACCATGACTATATCAAAGTAACCCCATTTAATGGTGAGTATTATTTCAGCTTCATATTCCTTTTCTAAAAGGTATCTGCTAGATAAACATAATACCATCTTAATTATCTTAAAAGTCAAGTTACTACTATCAGGTGACTTTATTATTGTAGAATGCACTCATTACAGTTTTGCAACGTACACATAGGTAGACTACGTAACAAGCCCTTCTTCCCCAAGTGTTAACACTGTCATGCACCTTATTGCTCTTGACAATTTCCTACACGTCAAACATGTTTGCACACCCACTCGCAAATGTCAGTCTAAACTGAACCACTTGATGATCATATTCTCAAGTCTGCATCTGTCATTTCTAATCCAACTCAAGAACATGAACTAAGAGTTATGGGAATACCCCTCCACCATGGCTGTCACAGGTACACCACGATTCACACAAATACAAACAGCCACAAATTGAAACCTGTATGTTTGAGTGTCTGCACTTAATATGCTCTCATGACATTATTTTACAAGCATGAAATCTTGACTATGAATGACACACAAATCCCTGTTCGCGCTTCGCCTTACAAATTCCCAAAGAACTGACATTGCTTTTCGTAAACAGAACACTAATTTTTATTTAGTGCCAGATTACTGTTTATGAAGAAGTGTATCAAACAAGTATTTAGACAAGAACAACCTAATAAAAAACCTCACTACCTTTCTAACCTACTGTGCTGATCATACATAGCAGTAGTTAACTGAATATAGATTCAGTACTGAGCTTCAAGTACTGCAGTATTTCTGTTGATAAACAGCTCAGCAGCTCAAAAAATGCCACATTCACTTGTAGTTGCTCCTATCCTCTCAGCTGTTACATGTTCTCATTCTATGTGCCTCTACTTTAAAACAAAAAATACACCCAAATCAAAAGTCAAGCCCTAGGACTAAATACACCCTAATAGTCCCTAGAACATGTTTCAGCATTACAAACACGCACTTCCTACACAGCATACAGCTACTGCAGCTGTTCTCACTGCCCCCCCTTTCTATCTTCCCTTTTTCCCTTGCTTTCTTCGGGTGATATTGCTTGCAGGGTTTATTTAAAAGCACACATAAAATAAAGAAAAACTGTGAAGCTTCTAGAAGAATAGAAGAGACAAAATAAAGGGTATTCTCTCTCATAAGAAATCTCCTATATTGCTTCAGAGGACGATAAAAAGCTCAAAGCCTAAAGACAACAGTTGTTTCCATTACAATAACATATTTCGAATTTCTCTATTACAAACATCAACCCATTAGAAGCAAACGTGTTTTCTGCAGTTATCTTGTGGCTCCCTAGCAGCATAAGCTGCTTTTTAACGCAGAAGATTTTACAGGAATATACCACTAATAGCACGCTAATAATTTCATCTTGAGAATTCTTTCAACATTCCAGCCTCTACAGCTCATGAAGGCATTGAAAAACGCTAAACACACGTTTCTGAAGTTATTCAAGGATTATTAAAGTTTTATCAAGGTCTAACCTTTGATTTCCAGGTTTTCTTCAGTACAAATTACTCATTTGAAGAGTCTTCTCTGCTAACAGCATTTCTATGACGTTGCACACAGAAAATTCATTACATGTCCATCAGGCAGAGGGTGCTATTTCCCTGCTGACTACTTGGCATTTCGAGTGTAGCTTCATTCAAATGTTAGCACAACTGAGCATCATACATAGTTTCCTTTACTCCCTGTCAAACACTTAGAACGATAGGCCAACAGCGAACCAACTCTTTATACTTAAAATCTGCAAATTGTATTTGCTAGTGTTTGTTGTTTTCTTTATTTGTCTCTTTCAAGCACAGTGAAGTCACTGAGGTGAACTATTTTGTGGTGAAGAAAAAAAAGTAACAATTGTAGGTGCAATGACAGAAAGAAACCTTTGCATTTCATTAATTACATCTGCTTCTTCCTTTCTTCAGGCTTCTTGTAACAAAGATAAATATCCCTGACAGATCTCACCAGATACAAAAAGGAAAGAACAGAATGAATACGTACTTCAAAGGTACGCAAGTGAATTACTAATCTAAACCCTCAGCAAATGTGTATCGGTGCATTGAACAATTCTGCACTACAGACTTCATTTTTTCATTCATATCTCTTCATACAAATGGTCTCGTCATATCTGATCAGTTACAATGAAGATTTGTACTTCAAAAATAGAATTTCTTTTCCATTCATGAAAGATAAGTTTAAGTGCAGTATTTTCTAGTTTTAATAAAACTTGCCCCAGAAACAAGGGCTTCACAGACCTCACAGTTCTGTGAGCTTGCTCATGTTTCAGTCCTTTTTAAAATACCAGTAAGCCCTTATCGGATACAGGACAGAGTGGTTGCAAATCATTGCTGCCATTCTTGAGAGGAAGTTACAATAGAGGAAGGTCAATCCTTGCCTACATCAAAGGCTCCGGGGCATCAGAAATAGCACAATTCTTATGTAAATAAGGGTGTTCTAATACATTAGCTCTGCAGTCTCCACCTAGAGCAGCAAGTTCGAGAAATTAATTGAGGAAGTGAAGGAAGATGAAGGAAGAAATTCAATATAAAGTAAAATATAAAAAGATAACAATATAAAAATAAAATAAAATATATTAAAAAACTTATTTACTACTAAGCATGCAAGAGAATCACCTTAGTCAATGTTTAAGAGGCATCAACCTTTAGATGTCAATTATTACTAGAGTTAGTCTTCCAAAGGATCATCTTCTCACAACACAAAGGTAGTGCTCCAGTTAAGCATTCTGTAAGAACATTCATCAGTACCTCAACACCTCCCTCTAAATAATTACAACTGCATTTACCACAAGAACAACATTACTGCAGAATCAGAGGTTACACTTACTGCAGTGATATTTTATTTATTTTTTTTTTAAACAAAGCTGCATGAGATAGAGTCCTATTCCTGATTTCACTGCTCTAAGACAGTAAGATGGCAGTATATGAGGAGTGAAGCAGGTAGCATGCGTACTGCTAGCCCTGTTATCCTGGTCAGATGGCATTCAGAAAAGGCTGAACTGCTCAAGGAATGACTTCTTCCAAGCAGAACTGGGAACACACCACCAACCCCATGCTGTTGCAGTTACATTGCTAGTAATATTCAAGGCAATTTATATACAGTTTGTGAGCTACATTCACAGCAATGAATCCAGTAAAGCACATTAAGACTCCCGAGGAATCTGCTAGGTATACAGTCATTACGTGCTATGTTCCACAATAAGCCACACTACAGTTGATTAGGTAATTGTATAAAATTGAATTTAATTACTATATCTTACTATCTTACTGTAACTGTTCCTGGGAGACCAAAGAACTAAGAACTGACTACAGCTCTATTTCTACCTATCCAAATGAAATAATATTGCTAAAGTCATAACCGGAAAAGGTAACACACCACCTTGCCTGTGGTATGACCCAGACTGAGATCAGGTCCTCGTTCAGTGTTCAGGCTGCTGAAGTTCATGTAGTTGACTGCACAATTCTATTTCTGTTCTTTATAATAAGTGAAAAAGAATTGCGATATTTTTACTCATCCCTGTTAGGGTAAGGCCTGAAATTTTCAGGAAAGGTTTAACAATTAAAAATAATGGAAAAATATTCCATACAAGTTTTACTCTAAATGTTTAGTAAATAAAAATAGTAAAGGTCTAAAGTCCTCCCCCCCTGTAGAAAGTCAACTTACTTTTACATCACTATTCATACTGTTTAAAGGGCTGGATAATACACAGGAGAGCAGAATAAGCATTCAGAAGTGTAGTGATGAGCTTTGGAAACAGTGGGTCAAAAGAGGTGGTGGTTAGGTCAGGAAAATATAGAGAAGCATTCATGACAGGACACTACTGGTTACTACAAAACTTGTTATTACAGGGAGGGAGCAAGAGAAGGTCAAGCTTTTGACAAGAGATGCATCAAGTTTTGAAGAATGCACATATTAAGAGTAACTGCTTCTTCTGTGAGTTTACTTTAAAGAAAACATAATCTGAGCTACTTGAGACAGTTTGTGTTCTGTAGCCTTTTAGAAGTCTGGCTACTATAAATCAGATCAAGATTTAAAATACAATATTCTGCAGGGCCATACACTCTTTGGCTATAACATGCACAACTTTACACAACGAACTACACGTACCCAGATCTTTTACCTGGTTGTTTAATTGTCCTTGTGTTAAAGGCATTAAAAGCTCCCTACTACCTCATGTACCAATTGCATGCTCGAGGCTGTCAGGAGGCACGGTGCGTGCAGCTCACTAACCAGACGTTAGGTTCTAGGAATACACCTTCCCTCTCTGACACGACATTATTTTTATGACAATTATATTTCATTTTGTCAGCAGAAAAACATCTCCAGTATTCTCAGTTACCACAGGAAGCAAACAGTCACATTTCTGAAAGGCACAGTCACACCCTTGAGTTAGCTCAAGGTTGATATGCTTTTTGTTTTGCTGTGCTTTTAATGCCTTACTTTTGGGGGACAAACTTACTTCCATAATCCTGCTAGAAAAGAACAGCAGTAAATCTAGAATTAAAGAGAACATCATACAGATACTTTTTAATGCTGATCTGTAAATGCCTCCAAATAAAGTATTTTTAAAGTAGCAAAGGAATTTTCGTAGCAGAAATGCCATACTTCTGCTGAGGCATCCAGCAGGTCACCAGCTCCCACAATTTGCCAAGTTTGGAGGTGAAGTGAAAAACCTCCTTAAAAGCTTATGACAACCCAGTGACTCCATACACTAGGAAGGGTAAATCTGAACACTTCCAATAGAAATGAACAGTAGGATTTGCTAAGCTTCTTGTCAAAACACACAAAAATATGAAAAGAATGAGGAAAATAAAACCTTAAGAAAAAGGTATTTGCAAGTTTGATCCATTTCAACACATTTATTTATTTTTTTTACTCTCAGCTTTTTAGGATCTTATTAAACAGAAGCTTGTCTACACATCCACTGGTTGTTTTGTTGTTTTTTTTTAATTTAGCATTATTTCCTCAGAGAAGCAGTACTTAACTTCTTTGCCGTCAGTAAAGCGCTGAAAAAGCAGAAAAAGTACTATTTTAAATAGCAATAAAAAGTACACACTTTCTTGACCACTGTAATTCAATCTATAAAAGAAATTACAATAGCCTCATAAGGCCAAACAGAACATTAGCCCATCTAGGCTCACTATCCAGCATACTTTACTGCTTTTGTTCCATTCAACCAGCTCACCTGGTGCAGCAGTCTCTTCAGTTTCAATAACTGAGTTTTTACAGCTGTGCAGTCTTGGACCATGTGCCTAAGGGTCATTTCATCAAGCATCACAGTATTCTCCGGTAAGCCCCCCAGCTGTCTAGAAGCCTGGTAAAAATTTGGTGTTCCATAGCTTTCAAAGCGACCAATAGGAGATTCTAAGTAGTTTGAGCCCCTAAAAAAATACATATATTTTTTAACCAAAACAACAAACCAAAACAACAACAAAAACCCCACAATAAAGACCAACTAGAGCTAGAGAGCATTTCATTTTAAAAGTGTTATGTAGTATGGGCTATATTCACACACTGTGACATACAGTGGAAAATAAATCGGACAATGTTAATGCTATTTCACTTAAATGCTGGGCTTTCCTTCCCCCTTGCATTTGCTCATCAGGTTTTCTATAAACTCTGTTATTCAAGTCAGCCTATAAAAACTATAGGAATACATTTAATTTAAAATCAAATCATTAAGTAAAAAGCTGTCCAAACTTAACAATGTAAGTAATGACATTAATGTTTTTCCATGGAACACAGTAATTTAGTCAAGCATTTCTATCGTATAAACACAAGGAACCAACAGTTGAATTAAAAACCATGACAGAAAAAATTTTTGAAAATAAAATGCTATAAATTTCAATAACACTCCCACCCAAACACACTCTTTATAGACAACTATTCTGAAAACATCTTGTAGTCTGTATCACTTGAGACCCTTTACTGCCAAAAGAAATTTCTCATCATGGTATTTTAATTGTTTGAGAGAAGAGAGAGAAGCCCTTTACCTGTTCAAATCGTTTTTACCATGGATATAGTGATCAGTATGGCCCAGATGATAGTGATCCTGTGTATTCCACCGCTGCTGTGGTGCTCTTTTCCAGAATCCTTCCTGATGTTGCCTAGAATTTCTGTCTTGTCTATCATAACGGCTCATATTTTCACATTCCTCTACAGAGGGCATAAAGTAACAAAGTTACAGAATTTGTTCCTAAGACCTTGTAAATAAAGTGTTTATTGTGTGCTAGTAACAGACGAAGTGTTAAATCTGTGGGGTTTTATTTTATTAAACTGATCAAAAAAGCATGCATTTTAGAACTGTCAAGCAGACTTCTGTAATGAAGTCACACTTTTACTGGCAAGTAAACTTGTTACAAGAACTAGAGCAAGCTGTAGCAGAAACTACAGAATTCAGCCTTAACAGTATTTCCAGTTTGAACAGAAAATCATTTGGAGGAAGAAAAGAAAGAATAATCCAGAAGTAACATTTTCCAGTCTTCCCTACTGACAGTATCTTAAAGCCTTTAAAAAGTTCAAACTATACAGAAACACAAAGATGGCATTTTAGAAAAAGGCCAGTACTTAATTCCAAAACAGAACAGTTTCATTACTTAAAATACATATGTACCTCATCCTATTCATCTTCTTTGTTTTTCAACCTGAGAGACATTTAATCTTCATTTACCAGAACAGCAAGCATGATTTAAAACAAGTAAACAAAGTAATCTCTTTAAAACACTAACTTCTGTAAAGCAAAGCAGATCCCACAAACTTCTTAAGGGAACAAAAGCTGTATTTGGCTACAGCTTGTAAACCACTAGAAACAAAGCCAAAACAACTGCTAACCGTGCAGTCAGAGGCAGCAAAAAAAAGGCATAAACTGTTATTCTGCCATTGCACGCTCTCCTTCACTTACCCAAGGAGTTTTTCCTCACATTGTCAGTCTTTTGCTAGGAGAATAACTCTACACAAGAGAATACTGTTTTATTCGGCTGCCTACTCGGACATAGTTGCGCATAAGACGCTCATAAACAGGCCTTCCTTCCTGCTTAGTTCCCAGCCTGCGTGTTGTTGGGAAGTGAGCCCAGTTTTACCCTGTGATTTAAAACTGCCATCCTCACTCACTGCATACTTGTTGAGCTAGATCTGTTTCTATAAATAGTGCCTGAGCGGCATCCCAGGCTCCAAAGTGAAACAAGGAGAGTTTCTGTAGGCCTGGAAAGTCTTAAGAGGCTGGTGTCAGTGAAGCCTCACAATTATGAAAGAAATGTTGGCAAAAAGTGCTATTAAAACAAATACTCATCTACAATTCAGTTTTTATCACCAAGTTCAATAACAAAAAAAACAAGGTAAGAAAATAAACTCATTCACCTGAAGTAACAGATGATTTCTTTTCCTTTAGATGTATCCTCTTACAGCTCATAATACATGAAAATTCAAGTGGGTCTATTCAAAATAAGCCCTGATAAAGTTTCTAAGTAATTTTATTATTATGATTTTCAGCTTTGGAAAATGAAATTGAGACACTGGCTAAAGACACATGGAAGACCATGAAGATGATCAGAGGGCTGGAGCATCTCCGCTACAAGGACCAGCTGAGAGAGTTGGGGCTGTTCAGCCTGGAGAAGAGAAGGCTGCAGAGAGACCTTGTTGCAGTCTTCCAGTTCATGAAGGGGTCCTACAGGAAAGCTGGGGAGGGACTTTTTACAGGGGCAGGTAGCAATAGAATGAAGGGGAATGGTTTTGAACTGGAAGAGGGGAGATTTAGACTGGATATTAGGAAGAAACTCTTTACTGTGAGGGTGGTGAGACACTGGCCCAGGTTGCCCAGGGAAGCTGTGGATGCCTCCTCCCTGGAAGTGTTCAAGGCCAGGTTGGACAGGGCTTTGAGCAGCCTGGTCTGGTGAGAGATGTCCCTGTCCATGGCAGGGGAGTTGGACCTAGGTCATCTTTAAGGTCCCTTCCAACCTAAACCATTCTGTGATTCTAGCATATTAACAAAGAACAAATTTTACTTTTTCAGGCGGTCATGTGTAGTAAAGGGAAAGCCTGGAGGTAGCTTTTTCATTCTTTTCAGACCTTCCTTGCTTAAAATTCAGTGATTTCAAGAGAAGTGATTATAGCAGGGATGCTCAGTTTATGCTACACTAATTTTATCTTGAAACCCAACTTTTAAAAAACACCAAAAATAACAGTAATTAGCTAACATTGATCTCAAACAGTAAGTTTCTCCTCCTCAATCAGCTGCTTACACAGCAGATTGTCAGTCACAGAACATATTCCAGCTCACAAACATTACTGACACTTAGCTGTAGAAGTGGGAGTAGAACTAAGATTACTATATTGACGCAATTAAGAAAGCAGTGAATTAAAAATCACAGTTAATTTGGGTCTAAATTAAATGGCTAACATTAACATTTTGATTTTGTGGCAAACATTCACCTCTAAAACGCATGTATTTTTAACAGTTTTTAAATCAGTAATTTGAAATGGAATCACTGACGCAGACCGACTGCATGATTTATAAACATGGAAACTTATGAGACATTGATCTACCCTTTAAAATTGTTCCTTAGTTTTTTCCCCAACAAATTAGAATTACTCTTACTGAAAGAAGAGCTCCTAGGCATAGGCTGTTACCTGTTCTGGAAAATTTCACAGTTATTGGGGCTGAAAAGTTGCATACTAGCACTACTGTCAGTAAGTGCTTTTCACACAAGACTGCGGAAAACTTTCTCTGAGATTTAAAAGACTAAGTACCGCACTTTGTATGTGCACACTGTTAACACATGATGTGCCACCATTGCAGTAGATGGAAGACTATATTTATTTACTGTTAATTTGTCTTCATAACGAACACACACGGAAGTCTTCACCCAAAGAACACAAAGGTAATCTCAAAAACACTGAATTTCCCCAAATACCAGCAGGCAGCTGAACAGTACACAAAATAAGGAAGGACCTTTTTCTTTCAGTGCCCGTCTGTACAAGGTAGGGCATTCTTCATTTGAAGATAAATTAGTCTCCATCAAACTTGCAGATAAAGCCAATACCCATATTCATATGACAATGACAATTCTTACGAGTAGGTCAGGAGTGACCAAAAGGAAATGCCTCAAATTTTCCAGGCCAGGATTTGAGAAAGTGTGGCAGTAAGTCACCTTACGTAGTTCATTCTTGTATGGATTTGTAATATTTTAGTGGCACCCTCACTGACAAAAAGTGCATAAAATACATCTTGAAAAAACATCTTAAAACATAAGGCTTCTGCTACATTGGACTGAATAAAATATATTAGGAGATCTTGTCATTTTGCAGAAGAAAATAATTCACACCAAGAATTACACTGGCATTCACCAAAGCTGAAAAAACGATGTTCCAGTATTTTCAAACATAGCTGAAGCATGAGACTGAAAGTTTGAAATTTATTCTACTAAAATAATTTCAAGAAACAAGGAGTGTGCAACAAGGTTGCACTTTTACAAAAGATAGTAAACTTTTAACTTCAGAATTCTTCAAATGCAAGAGTTGTATTTGGGGAACAGAAATACCACACTTTCTACATTTCAGAAAAGAAAGAGTTGTTACTTAAGGAAAATACAATCAAGGGAGCATAAGCTTATTGAAGTAGAAGCCAGAACAATGTAACTCAAATATATCTCTTAAGCCCATAATGCAGTTTCACAATAAGATTGCTTGCCTACTTTACTAACCTTTGTCATGAGGTGGGTCCTCAGGCAGGTCCACATCAAGCATGAGATCATCATCTTCGAGATCACATGAATCAAGGTTATTCAAGATATCCTGCAAGAAAGAGAATGTGAGATATAGCTGCCCCCGTGGTATTTCATTTACTGTCACAAAATATGCAATATATAGGAAAGACTGAATACTCAAGACAGAACCACCTGGTTTTTTTATACTTACAAGTCCTACCTGAATAATTTTGTTTACATGTAGTATTCTAAGTAACTATAGGAGATAACAGAAAAACCTACATACCAGGGCATTGCGAGTAATAATAAAACCAACCATGTAAAAGCTTCAGAGAGAAATGGAAGTCACACAGAATCACAGAATATTAGGAGT